GCGCCAAGGAGCGATTCAGGTTCCATATCTTCCAAGCAAGGTAGGATTCCGCATCCCAAAAACTTTCAGTTTGCTTAAGGTCCTAAGTTTAAGGTTTGAGGCGCAGTCCTAAACCTTATAGCAAACCTGAAGGAGCTCATGAACCTCCAGACGGCGAACCAAGCCTGCTTTGGGATTGGGCACTGCATGGGTGCCGTAACCTGTGCGTTACCTGAGAATTCATTGTGTGTTTTTCTTAGGTTTTCGAACTTGGTCTGACTTGCGGTTCCGGTTCCCCAAAGCTGTGGAAGTTTGGTGACATTTGAAAAGAATGTGACGATATGCGCCGCTTCTTTGCATGAGAATCTTGTGTCTGCTGATGGACTTCGGGGACACTTTGCGATTGTTAGACAAGACTAGTGGTCTAGTAAATGCTGCATCACCTTTTTCTTTGCTCCTCTTAAACTAACGTATCCTCGGCTTGTCGAGGGAGAGGAGGTCCAGCGTATCTGAGAGGTACGAACACATTCCTCAACCGTATATACGAGATAGAGTTAGAGCCCTGAAGGCACTTGCTTATTCATGCTCGACACATGTGTCGGAGTACAACATGTGTGTTGTACATAGTACCAAGTCTAACAGCAGTGCCGAAGTGTAGTTCCGCTGTTGTGACGGGGAACTCCTGACGCTTTAGGCTCGGGCTCAAGACGTCCAGGAAAGATAGAGGCACGCGCCATGGCCAAATCCTTTCCTGGTTCGTCTACGAAGCTCGAGAAGTTCGAAGAGAGTGACTGGTCTCCCACATGGGAGATACTAAAGGCGATCTCAGGACATTCCGTTGGCGAAGGACCACACTCCTGACGCCCCCATGTCTGTCTCTTCGGAAAACCTTTGTCATTACCTGCGAGAAGGTAAAGTGTTGTCACGCACATGCTCGCGGACATTCCCCTGCCGGAATTGGTTCCGAGGTAGCTGCGAACGTCGCGATCATTGCTACAACATCCACGGCAATGACGCGCACGAAGCTATCAGCCAGGCGATTGTTGACAGATTTCGGAGCGCTCGCGGATCTCAGCGAGCTGGACGCTGGTACAACTCCACCACCGCTCAAGCCAAGTAATTACTTCAGCCGCGAAGAGGCTGTCGATCATTGTGTGGCACAGGTGGCGGATTTCAACCAGCAAGTTTGGCGAGCCTTTGCTTTCGGACATTCCAGTTTGGAATTTCGGGACTGACTACAAAACGTGGTGCCAGGCCCGCCGAACTCCGGCACCGAAGCGTAACAAAAGTGCTCCAGCTACCAAACATGCACTTTTGCAACGACAACACTTCCTTCACGAGCCCAGGCCCGCAGCACCTAGGCGCATTCCCAGTCGCAGAGCCCAGGATCTCAGAGCCCAGGCCCTGGCAGAACGCCGAGCCCTAGGACATGGCGCGCAAAGTCTCCCGCAGCTTCCGCGGCTTCGTTGACGCGCTATCCTGTAGACGTCAGCCGGTCAATACCTCCGTCTGTGACACCTCAGCCAGACTCCACGACCGGACGAGTCGGCCACACCACCGTGACAGGCCCAGAACCACAAGCAGCCTGAACCACCACGTCACCTAACATTCCGCAGAAAGCCCCGCCCTGTGGTGCCAAACCACCAACGCCAGCGGCAAAGAAAGCCCCGCCCACTTTCACCGCCCAAGCACGGCAACAACCTCCCCCACCCCGCAGACAAATTCGGCCCCCGACAGACCTCGACGCCCGCGAGCGTTCTGCTTCGACACCCTCACACGGCTGGACCTTGGGCGGGATTCTGGCCAACTCGGCTGGGTTGCGCAAAATACGGTCCAGCCACCGATCATGCGGCGTGATATCTGCCGCGGGCGCCCGAGTCACCTTCAGCACTGCACCAAGCGCCGGGAGGTCGACTCCGCATGTTAGAGAAGCACGGGTGACCCGCTGTAATCAGAAACAGGCAGGACACTCAAGCAGTTCAGCAGCAACCAGTCTTTCATCTACCTGCTCGAAGCATGCTTCGAGCAGGTATGCATGGGCCGCTATCACAGCCCCGGTCACGTTCCAGCCACTCCTCCGCTCCTGGGCCCACTGGATGTGGCACAATCGCCTTTGCCTACGACATCGCCTCGAACGAGTTCCGACCAAGGCGAACGTGGTCTGACAGAGCAGGCCAGTGAGTTGGTGACGAGGATTCGCCTTTCAGAATTGGGCAGTTTCCCTGCGAACGGGCGAAAGTGCTGTGGCTTTGTGGTGAGTAAGCGCGAGAAAGCCTGCTGCAGCTGCCTTTGACGGTCTGGCCTTTTATTGGCTTGCGTGGGCACCCTTTTTCAGAGAAGTTGAACATGCTCTTCTGGCTCCTCTGCAGTCTGTTACGTGGTTACATTGGTCTCGGGTATGCGTGAGGACCCCTTTTTCCTTGCTGCTGAGCACTTCTTGCTTGTTGTAGCGCGATTGCTGTGCTCCTACAACCAGTACTCATTGCTGTGGTTCCTCTGCGTGTCTCTGGGCGCTGTTGCTCTTGTTGAGTAAGTGCAAGAAAGCCTTTCTGCAAGCGTCCTACGTTGGTGTGGTTGGTTATGCTGCAACTCATGGTGAGTAAGTGCGAGAAAGCCGTTTTGCTGCAGCTTTCTGCTACACTACGGACCTCCAGGGCTCGAGGTGCCGTTGGTCGGCCCATAGTAGAGACTTGCGCAGCGCACAGTCTACTTGCCTTCACAGTGAGCAGCACTAGGGTCTCCTCTTCTTTAAGCCTGCCCAGTTGCTGGCTGCACAGTTCGTGAACCTTGTACATGGCATGTAGGCTTGACCACCTGTCTAGCTGTAATATGCAGCTCCGCTGATGAGAGAGCGGTTTAGGGACGCACTCGTGACACACGAAGTGGGTTACGACCGTGTACGCTAGGGGGAACTCTCGATGCTAGGAATACCTCGAAGGTGTTTTTCTTTCTACCATATTTTCTCCCTTCTACAGGCTAGGGGCTCTCTCGAACTATTCTATTGAGAGAGCTATGAGAGGACATGTGTGCAACAGTCATGTGATGCTTGAATGTGCTAGCAGCATGCAGACATGTCAATTGCTTTGAAATTGCTAAGCTAGGTCCTGAGGACCTCGGTACATGAGAACAGTAGCTATGAACAGTGCATGAAAGCTACTGGAAAGAAAGGCCATGGAGCCTGTGCTCGTTTGGCCATCTGGGCTAAAGGCCCTTCGGAAAGGGGCTTGTGAGGCAGGGAGTGGGCGCGTACCTCCGGAATCCTTTCCTATCCTGGAGCCGGAAGGCCCCCCTCTGGGAACCTCGCGGCTGCTACGTCAAGGGCGCTCTCAAACCCTTTCATGATGGGGGAGGCCTCTGCTCCCCTGGGCGATGGCCGCTCGAGTGTGCGACCACGCTCACAAGGAGCGTGAAGCCTTCTGCATGGCTGCTGGGGGCGAAGGTGGCTGTTCTCTGGTAGCTACTGGAAGGCCTCCGGCCTCCGCGAACTGCTACGGCTCTGGCTTCTGGGACAAGGACACGGCAAGAAATTGCGCCAGAACAGCCGCTACGCTTGAAGCTCATGCATGCGCTACTAGTAGCCGCCGGGGATCCGGACAGGGACTTCCTGCTAAGAGCTCAGGACCGGCTACCCTTGATGATCCTAGGACCGCTCCCCCGGACCCTGCACATCTTCGAGGAGGAGAAGAAGTGGCCGCTCGACCGGTTTTCTTGGGCACCAGAACTAGCCTGGGTCCCAGGGCCTGGGTGCCTAACTATTGCTCGGTCCGCGAGCATGAGAGCTACGTCCGGGAGAAGTTTGATGAGGACGTGGCGGAGGGCCTTATGGAAAAGATGAATCTCCGAGAGTTCCAGGAGCGCTATGGTGAACACCGGGCGATTGCCGCCCTCGCCGTGATCGTCGAGGATGAAGCTATAGGCAAGAAGCGGGTCATCCATGATGGTCCTTTTTCATTCATTCAAACGCGTTCACTGAGTCAGCGATTCTGCGGGCGCAACATATCACTGTGGATACGGCCATTAGGCGCGCCAGACATCATGCCCAACCCTGTACACTAGCGGTGTTCTCTATTCCCTCCCTCCAGCCCCTAGCATCCCCCTGATGCGGAGATCGGCTGCCTGGCGAAGGCATCAAGAAGATAGCTTTCTACACTGTCTTGACATGTCATGCGCAAGCACTCGGACTGATCTCTTTTATAGCGTGGACAAATCCCACTCGCGTAGCTCGGAGGTCCTGCTGCTCTAGCAGCAAAACTTCCCCAGGGTGGGTAGGGTGGGCACTTTGAAATTGCCCCCCTTTCCGAAGGGCCTTTAGCCCAAATGGCCAAACGAGCACAGGCTCCATGGTCTTTCTTTCCAGTAGCTTTCATGCGCTGTTCATAGCTACTGTTCTCATGTACCGAGGTCCTCAGGATAGCTTAGCAATTTCAAAGCAATTGACATGTCTGCATGCTGCTAGCACATTCAAGCATCACATGACTGTTGCACACATGTCCTCTCATAGCTCTCTCATTAGAATAGTTCGAGAGAGCCCCTAGCCTTTAGAGGGGAGAAAATATGGTAGAGAGAAAAACACCTTCGATGTTTTCCGTGCTACACTGGCGGTGTTCTCTATTCCCTCCCTCCAGCCCCTAGCATCCCCCTGATGCGGAGATCGGCTGCCTGGCGAAGGCATAGGATAGCAACCCAAAAGGAGAGTGGGACCGAGTAGCGTCAAGAAGATAGCTTCCTCCCACACTTTCTTGACATGTCATGCGCAAGCGCTCGGACTGATCTCTTTTATAGCGTGGACAAATCCCACTCGCGTAGCTCGGAGGTCCTGCTGCTCTAGCAGCAAAACTTCCCCACGCGTAGCCACTCGAGCTACCATGGCTCCAGCTTCCGGGCCTTCTTGCTGAAACGGCCTAGCTTGGGGACCCTCGTCCTCTTTCTCTGGCCAAGCTCTTCATAGTAGCTCCCAGCATGCTCCAAGAGCTCCCTCAGGATTTTCCACTTTAGCTCTTCCCCTTCAGCTCAATTCTGAACTAGGGGTCGAAGCTAGCAAAGTTCTCATTTGTGAGATCATCTGCTAGTTGATTCATGTCCCTACGGATCCACTGTAGCTGAAGCTCACAGTTCTTTGCAGCTAGCTCCTCGGCTAGCTCCATCAAGATCAGCATGGATGGGAACTTGGTCGTCATGGCCTTGCGTAGCAGAGCTTCATTCGACTTGTTGTCCGTGTAGCCTCTCAGTGCTACTCTCGAAGCTTTTCTAGCTTCCCCTTCTGGGACCCAGAGCTTCACGGCCACCAGGGTCCCCAGCAGCTCCAGGGCGGCGATCACCTTGTTGGGGTCCTTCTTCGCAAATGCCCAGGGAGCCCACTTTCTAGTGACTTGCAGCGAGAACCAAGGACCTTGGCATCCCGGCACGAGCTCCAAGAACCCCCGATCCAGGCTCTCCCATTCTCCGCCTTAGCGTCCGTGAAGAAGCTGAGCGTCTGCCTCTCGTAGCACATGGACTCGGGTCCTTCTAGCCTATCCGCAACCACCTCATCAAGACCCTGAGCATCGTGGGCAAGGTGAGCAGCCCATGCTTGCCTTGGATGGCGGAAGACCATGCGTAGAGAGGTCCTAGGAATGGTCTCTCCCAGTCTAGCGCAATGGCCGCAAAGCCCTACGCGGCCCTCTCTCACCTGCGCCCGAAGCCAGTCGACTAGCCAGGTCGCTCTCTGCTTTGAGAGCCCCAATTTGTAGCCCACATACTCCGTTTCCATTCCTAGCCATTCCTCCCGAAACCCCCCTCGCGTCTTGGACCACTTGAAGGGAAAACTAAGGCAGCACATCGGGATGCCCTGCCGGCCCCGCTCCCCTGTGCCCAGGACCTCAAGGTCGTCCGCGTAGAGGAGGAGGTCCATCGGATCTGACCCCTTTTAGCTCTTCCTCCTCGTTCACCTGGCATCCCATGTAGCCATGCTCCGAACTCTGGTGCTTGTAGCGTCGGTGGGCTTTGGAAATGTCTCCGACCACCGAGAAGGCTGTAGCTTTCTTGGAGCGAAGTTCCCGGAGCAGGACCTTCTTCTCCCTAGCGCCCGGGCGCGGATCTTGTCCCGGCATCTTATCCGATTGTTGACCCGGACCCCATGGCTCGCCTCTGCGTCGGCTCGATTTCACATTGGCAGAGGAATACGGTTGGTCTTGGGTCCCGTTACCCGAAGCTGAAATTTTTGAAAGGTGTTTGAAGATCATTGGCGACCTTAGTTGGCTTCGAGAATCTCCCTGCTTCAGTCCCTTTTCTGAAATAAGCTCCCATTTCCGCCAAGGCGAAGAACCGGGCTCGATTCTTTGTCTCCCGTTTGTGTACAGAAGACAGTCTCTGCTTTGACGGGTATGTACCATTCGACTGCTTCGACGGGAATCCACAGGCGATGGAACATAGGCTTTTGACGAACGCTCACGGTTCAAAGAACCGATTTACACAAGCGAATCTTGCCACCCATCACATCGTGCAGAAACGAATTGTTTCGGAGCACAACACGTGTGTCGTACACAGTAACAATTCAAACAGCAGTGCCGGAGTGTGGTTCCGCTGTTGTGACGGGGAACTGCTGACGCTTAATTTTCGGGCTCAAGACGTCCAGGAAAGAGAGAGGCACTGCTGCGAAATTTTGTCAGCCCACCCTCCTCTTCCCCATTTGTCAGTTGCCTGCGAGATGCGCTTTCGTACACGATTCACCAGATTTTCATGAGCATCACCTGTGGGAATCCACAGTCGATGGAACATACACTTTTGACGAACACTCACCGTTCGAAGAACCGATTTACGAAAACGAATCTTGCCACCCATCACATCGTGCGTGGCAAAAGATCGCTTGCAAGCTTAGTGTTCGTACTGCAGAAACGAATTGTTGAAAGCAGACGTGCACTGACCATCCCTGCCACACTCGAGCTCGTCTCATGGTGCCGGGGACTTCACGTCCCGCTCTCCGGGACATCACTGGAATCGGGACGTTATTGAAGTTATTGTTAGAATTAGACAGCGAGCTTTCAATCTTTCTGGGTGTCAAGCTCAAGCTCCAGCTTCCCCTACTCCGCGCGATGGTTGGCAAGCTGAAGTTGTGAAAATAAAGTCTGTTACCCAGGTAATGTCCTCCGTGGCCCTCGCGTTCTTTCACCTCCATGGATCAGAGCAGAGCTCCTACAAAGTACATCTGGCAGGGGCAGCCCCTGCAGTGCTGTTCGTAGTGGCGAACGTTTCTGGGCGGTTCTACAACACTTTCGTCAGTGCATGATGAGCATGACAAGCTACCCTACGTATATACTTCACCTAGAGGGGTGTCTCTTTATGTAGTTCAGTCAAGTTGAATTGACTGTGAGTCAGAGCCCAGGTTATCATCTTGGCAATCATTGTTTTCTTTGTGCCACGTTCTCCGGCCTGCGCATGTGACTCCACGCCGACTGAGGGTGAGAAGGAAGCGTAGTCCCAACAACGGAAGTTCGAAGGAGGGAGGGTTTAGGTTTTAGGGACTTTAGGGACTTTGGTCTTTAGGGTTCGTGACGAGATCTCTGCTTCTCGGGACACATTTCACCCTTGAAAATTGCATTGCAAAACCCGAATGCATGCTGCCTGTGTAGAGAAAGACTTGTGGCGACAGCCAGGACAAAACTCCAACTTGTGCTCTGAGCTTGGACGAACCCGACCGGCACCTGATCTTCCGCACCGGAGTGATCTACAACTTTGAGCGTTCCTTCTCGGTGGGTGCAATCGAGGTGGCAACGACCATGATCTCTGAGGCGACGGAAGGTTTTCTAAAAAAAAGGTGTGCCTCTCAACCCTTTTAAGTCGGAGCTCCCTAAACCCTCGTCCTATGAGGGACGCCCGAGCATCGCTTTCTCTCTAGGCGTGCAAGAAAACCCTCAGGAGGAGTTCGGCTTCTCACCTCTGACCACGGGATGGATCTTTGGCTTCATTGCGCTGGGCTCAGCCCTGGCAAACATTCTGGTAAGCTTCACGCCTGCAAAAATCGATTCGCGCCCCTTGGACTCGGAGCCTGTATGGGTCTTCAAAGATGTGTTCTGATTTCGATGGTTTTAGTTTTTTAAATGGTTTTTGGATGTTTCCACCCCAAGGGCCCGGAGAAAGAGATACACCCTCCATAAATACTGCTTCTTTTTCGTACCTACCCATAAAGCTTGCCACGCAGTCTCTTCTTTGGACCCGTAACCGGGTTACTGTATGGTCGCGAGACAGAGGTTGCTACATCCTTCCACTGAGCTGAGGCAGCTGTGTGATGCTTTGCCAGGCAGCTGTGGGTGTTCTGATGCCCCCTGGCCGGTCCCCTCAGAGCCATACAGAGCCATACAGAGCCATACAGAGCCATACAGAGCCATACAGAGCCATACAGAGCCATACAGAGCCATAACCCAAACCCTATGAGTCCTTGTGCCTTTGAGGACCTTTGAGGCCTGAAGGATCCTTTAGCTCATTTTGGCTCAACTCAAAGACCCTGAAAGGTGAGGGTCACTCCTACAGTATCCTACAGTCCTACAGGTCGCCATTTATATTGAACTGGTGGCCATGGTGGAGCCTGTACCTGGGCACAGAGAGTCGGTGTGGGCTTCCGTGCTATGGGAAACGGGGAGCATCACGGGTTTGTCTTCTGTCCTGATGTCCTGGATACAGTACTTCTGAGGGAGGCTGAGAGCAGGTCCTGAAGCGTGGCACTGGATACTTTCTAAAAAAGGCTGAAAGCAGCGATGGAGCACAGAACGCATAGGAACATACTAGAGCTACAGAAGCCCCAAAAACACGATAAGAGGTTCTGCCTTCAGTCCGTATGGGGGCACTCGGGGTCCAAGGCTCCTAAGAAGGTCTCTGACCATAGCCGCAGAGAAGGAGCGGCCAGTATATCTCCTTTGTGTTCGGGATTCGTGCGTCTTGATTGACAGGTAGCCAGCAAACTGCGCGGAAAGATCCTCCAAGCTGGGACTGTAAGAGTAAGGCTAACAGGCTAACACAACCACGTCTTATGAGGCTTGGACAGTACAGCCCTTGACGAAGGTACGTGGCAGATGTGCTGATATTGACGCTGACCAATGCAGCTAATGGCATTGCTGATGGTCTGGCTATCCTAGCTGCAGGGTCTCACAGCGAAGACGGCGTGTCTCGGCATCACGAATAGAGGGAACACTGGTCTAAATACCCCAAACCCGAAAGGCCCTGAACTAAACGGCATCCAGGTACACAGAACGACTGCCTTGTCAGCCCTTGTCACCAGCCACTGACCAAGGTATCCCGGCAGGCGTACATCAACCAGAAGATGCCTGGCATATGTTTAGAGTTTTGGGTTTGGTGTTTAGGGCACAAAAAAAAGATGCGTTGAATTTCGAGCTTTCGTTTCTTTTCGTGGATTTTGTTTTGGGAGTGGGGGATAGGGGGTGGGTTTCGGAGAGGGGGGGATGGGGGGGAGGGCCAAGAAAGGCCCGTGTGAGGGGGATAGCGGATAGCATGGCCAGAACATGGACCCCAGAGAACTTCCTCTGCCCTCATATGGTTTTCCCGTTTTTTCGACTGAATATACTTTGCATATATGCCTACTATGTTACTAAGAGTTCTTGTGGTAGGTTCTCAGCTTGAAACTCACGGGAACCAAGTGGGCAGTCCACGCGGAGCCGGGTCCCAGGATGTCACCCTGCATCGTGAAATATCATGAATTTGCTCTTCTGAGGCGCTTAGAGCATGACTTGGGGATCTTGGATGGCCTGTAGACTCGCACACGATCACTTCCCTCCATATCGCTTGCAACGTTGACCACACGTCCTTTCCTTCATATGAAGCATGGCCCTTATCTAGGCAAAGCTTGGAAGATACAAGAGACATCGCGAGGTACCCAAGGATGCCCTTCCCAGGGCACATCGCTGTGATGGACACACGTGAATATCATAGTCAAAATCACGTTCGAGGTCAGCACAGTGACTGGAAGCGTTCACAGTGAGAACACGGAGTCTTCACTTCGTGTTTGCTAAGGATGATGAGCATGGGCGCATCACGGCTTCTCGCCGCCCCCTTTGCACGTGGAACTGTTGACAAACTTGGTCGTAATGGCTATGGCGCGTTGCAGCTCCTCGTGACTCTCATAGGCTTCTACGGCGTTTGGCAGCTGGGCTGTGACTGGTGCTGGGATCTAGCTTGAGGAGGTTGAGGGTTCAGAGAGGTCCGTAGGCTACCATTCTCAACCCTTTAGCCGGTGGGAGTAGTGTTAGTATTGTTTCTTTGTGCTTTGCTTGAAAATGTGGACGAGATGTTCAGAGCCTGACAAGCGAGGAAGATGCACGGCGCCGTGAGAAGGAGACACTGAGCGAACGGCTTGAGTGCCGTAAGATGCACTTAAGGAATGCCTGTGTCGTGCGCAGAAGTCAGATTCCAGGTCTATCGGGTTTAGCGCCTTAGGGTTTAAGTTTTAGAGGGCACAAAGTCGTCACCATAATGGCGAGCTGCGAAGGACCAGCACAAGCCTGGAGAGAAAAGGTTGCTGTCTGCTCTACGTGAAGTCTTTTCAGCTGGCTTGTTCATCTGTTTTCAGCGTCGTTTTCACTAGCGTACGCCTCAGCGAGGACAAAGCTGATCTTGTCAGAACCCAGCATTTGAAGGCTTTATACTCTTTGCAGCGCATACACATGGCCTGCATGGCTCAAAGAGGGCTCCGGTCACGGTCTGGAAGTCCGGCCAAGTGGCTGGCCTGCTTGCGCATGGTGCCTTCGGCACGCTTGACAATTTCCTCTTTCAACGGGTGGCACACAGTCTTTCAAAACAGTCCCTGCGGCGCAATCGTAGTGCGGCTTCATGCGGGTCCCGAGCTGAGGCGAAGCCCTGTACAAGCCCATGCGATGCGTACCCTCGAGTGCTGAAGGGATGGCTTTCACAGGCGGACGTGGCGCATCTCAAACAGAAGCTGGGCTGAGATTGGTGGGAATAGGCTTGGGTTCTTTGCTCGCTTTCTTCCATCAAAAGATCACAAGGATCTACAAAACGACGGTGGAGGAAGGCTTCACACATCGAGCGGAACGGAACAGGCCCATCCAGTACTATGATCTTCTCCAGTACAAAAACAGCTGCCATCCACATGATGAGTGTCTGCAAGAGATTATTGAGAAGATCTACGGACAGGCGGCGGGGTGCAAAACGAAGCCTTTGCCTTTGCTCAGATAAACGCCTATGATGTTGGGCTAGATTCGAGGAGATATGAGTTTTGAACAGTTTGGGCCCCTGCATCCTTTCATGACTGTCATGTAGTCTACATTGAGAGGTTGTGTCGCTGACTCAGGTCGAAAAGGAGTTCGGACCTGGGTTTCTCATCGTGCACGACTTTTGGTCTTACCGCGCTCCAGGGTCCTTGGGCCCACTTAAAGGGGAACAGCAACACACCGTATAGCCACCATAACCCCAGAACACTTTGCCTCTATCTTCTGCCTTAGTACGCTTGTCGAGTTCATCTCAGGTTACAGACCAACAGAAGGATCAGATGGTAAGGTTTCTGGCATGGTGAGAACACAGCTACAGGTCGAGCCCGCTATTTCCAGGGCGAAGTAATTTCACCACATTGGGCACAGGACCAACAGAGTCCTCTCCACGTCCCATAATTTCGGATAGAAAAAGCCAGCCTGACAATCTGCTTGAAGCGAGTTGCTTTACGAGAGAGACTCGCCGTGTTCAGGCTCAGGTTTCGGATGCTCTCGGCATTGCCATCCAATTCGCGGTTCGTCTTCTGTCTTATGGCTTCCCTGAACACCAACTCTCCAGGACATCTTCAAACCATCTCTAAAGTCTAGCTGCGCCCCGCTCCCTTCGAATGCCCTACATAAACCGGATTTCCCATTTCAACCCAATGTCAGCCTTCGATGTAAACCCTCTCTGAGTCTGTTACAGGTCCTAAACCCCGAACCCAGGCTAAATCCGCAAATCCTTAAACCCCTCGAAAACCCTTGGTCTGGGTCCCCCAGGTCCTTCCCTGCGCCCGTGATGCACACAGACCCCGCCTTCTGGATGACAGGCCGAACAGATGGTTTCAACCTCTGGCGCCTTGGGAGCTATACAGGATTTGGGGGCATCTGGGGCATGAGGTTTTCCGGGTTTAGGGTGGGCGGTTTTGGGTGCACTGCACACAACCACTAAACACCCAAAAACCTTAAAGGCCTTGAAGTCGAAACAGAATGACCTTCAGACACTCAGAGTGATCAGAGGTTCCTGCTGGATCACAAAGACATGGCCTACGGCATTGACGTGCTCACCAAGGAAGACAATGAGGACTTCTACTCCTGCCCTGCGCTTGGCCTACCTCACGCGCCTCCCTTTCTATTTGCGGGTAAGTTAGAGAGCAAGGCAAACACCACAGACACCACAGACACCTGCAAAGCCTCCACTGCGTTCATTCATCGAATTCCTTTGCGGAAGTGGCCGGTACTTTTCGAGTGGCAGAACGATGTGGCCAATGCTCTGGGAACACTTTGCTGCGCAGCCTCAACGTGGTGGCTGCAGAAGGCGATAAATCTTGGCAAGACCCTACAAGATTGGTGGCCTTCTTGGGCCTTTCGTGGATTCTTGCTGACCTTTGGATGGCTGGGCAGTCTCTACCCCCTGCCACCTGTTACACTCAAAGCTCGGCGGTTCGAGCTGCAGATAGGTGCGCGATGTCCCTAAACCCTGAACTTTCCTACGCTCTAAATGTAGCTCCTCCCAAGCGCCCTCAGATGGAACTCGCCGAACTCCTGAAGAGATCGTAAATATATACCCTATATGAGCTGAGAATACACGCTAACATGTGCTGCAGTAGGGGGGGGGGGTGGCTCTTAGTATAAGACAGGAAGCTCCTGGCATTATAGTGACTTTAGAGACAACAAAGACTAGTCTACGACTACGCTCCGGCACCAGGTGATGCGGCCGTCATTCGCCAGGATGAACTCCATGCTTCCGACAAGGACAGCCGCCACAACGTGTAACAGTTGAGAATCTTCTTCCACGGTAAGCATGTTCTGCTCAGGAGCCATTGAAGGAAGGTCAGTTTCGCTTGGCCATCGGTTTCAAGTTCATGCGCCAGGCCCCTGTGAGGCAGTACCTTGTGACTTGGCCGTTGTGTGATATCACCACTATCACCAGCACTGAGACTGCAGCAGAGCACCGTTCTAGCACTTATCACGCAACTGGAGGGCCATTTCTGGTTGTTGCATGCTTGGCTTTGCGAGCCCGAAGGCGAGTTGAATCAGGATTGATCGCTAAATCGCATAGTTCTGAGGAGTGAAGTCTTGTGTAAGGTGAATGGCCCATCAGCCACGCGTCGCCGCATCCATCGGGATTTGAAGCTTCCTTTGGGGACTTTGCTCCCGAGCTGTTAGAAACTTTCTCATTGAGGTTGTACTTTTAGTTGTACTTGTTTTTTGTTTAAGGAGCCGCTTTGCAAGTTCCCTTTTCCACCACACTACGAATGCTCGTGTATTCTCCCTGTATTTCGAAGTGGAAGGTGTTTTGTCAGGTGCACTGGGAGCGCCCTGAAGTAGGTATCATGCTGCAGGCTGAACGACCCTTACCGGCAATCAACCCTCGACCTGGCTGAGGACGGAGCACACAGGCTTTTACAGACACAGGTAGCCAAGAAGGTGTTTTCGGTTTCTTGGCGAGCTGGTTCCGACAGGACTGTAGCCTTAAGGGAAGTGGAAACCTGTTGTAGATCCCCACTGTTCTTCGGCTCCCAAGAGAAGCACAATCCGGGAAAGTCAAACTGCAGGAAGCTCAATGGAAGGCCCCTTGGGGTTAAGGGTGCAAAAGGCTTACCAGGGTGCCCGCACCACAGAGTCCCCCAGAGGACGCGGGCGTGCTCACCCGCACGGTCGCCAAGGCCATGAGCGGATTCGCCACTGCTGGCCGCTTCGTTGCCCCAGAGAAGGGTTCCAAGGCGAAGGGTACGCGCCTTAGCTAGTTATCCACATTTATACACCAGTGCCTAGTAAGGACCCCAATCTAAAAAAACATAACAAGCGTGGTGAAGGGTGGCTTAGGGCTTGAAGTCCTTCAAAATAGCTTTCAACAGCTGTCGGCGTCCCATCCTGGCTGGTGCAAGTGAGCCGAAGACGTGCCGCTTGCGTGATGCAGCAGTACATGTTGGTCCTGTAAAAGCAGAGGGCAGGTTCCGACAGTTGAAAAAAAAAGAAAACAGAGCTGTTCAGCTGTTCCGGCTGTTCCCTGGAAATGCTTCACTTGTTCGTCCCAGTTCGTCATTCCTGGCTCAAGGCCACATCGGCAGATTCTGAGGGTCTGAGGGTGGTCCTGCTAGTTGCCATTCTGACTTATTCGTGTTTTATGTGTAGCGCTGCAGTCTATGTCTCGGCCAAAGCAGATGTACGGCATGACTCTCTGCTGTTCTCATCTAGCCCTGCCGGCTTCTCCGCAAGCATCCGCAAGCCATGATCAGCCTCTGCATGCGTCGAGCATGCTTGCTGTCCGTGCCCTTCCTGAGCGGTTTAGCTGCCGCAAAGCTTGTGGCAAGTCTCAATGAGTTACTCGGAGGGTTCGTTGAATCAATGCCGCCTTTTTTCAGCAGGGATGGGAAGACGCGGCCTCGGCACACACACGCACGTGCAGGTATCCTGTCATCTCTGTGAGGCACTCACTTTCAATATGTGAGGTGACTCGACCGCTCAATAAAGGCTTCAAGAGGCTCCAGTTCTGCTTTTGGGAGTACACCAGAAAAGCAAAACATACAACCGAGGAACGAAGAAGGTCATGGCTGAGTGCATGTCAGGCAAGAGATGAACTAGTTGGGGCAGGCTTGCTTTGTCCCCTTGCTTCTTGTGGTTGCTACTTCCCTTGGAATTTCGGGTTTAGCATATGAGCTCGGGATCCTGCCCAGACCCCAAGCAAAAGCTCCGGATCTACTATTGTTGCTACGACGAGCATTAGTACCACCAGCACCACTAGCCCTTGTACTTCTAGGGACACGGGACGAGGGGCGTTACAAAGGAAGTGCAAGACGAAGAAGTGCTGCTGGATCTCCTCCAGCGCAAGCTGGACCTCTCCAAAAAAGCCCGAGCCTCGAGCAGAGACTCTGGAGTCAGTAGAAAAGGTTTCGTGCTTGGGGGTCATACGAGTTCAGGCTTGGGGTGGGGTCCAGGGCCATTTTTCGTTTGAGTTTCATCTTGTTTAGGCCCTAATCTGAACCTGTTATACACAATCCCTTTGAATTAGCAGTTCGCCTGGGATGGCTTTTGAGTAAGGCTTGTATGTGCCGTGTACACCATACTCAAACTGGTAGTCCCAAAACACTCTTCTGGCTTATACTCGGAATCGAGGGAGGTTTGTTTCAGGCCGCTTCATGCCCCCTTTATGGGCACGAGTTAGCGAGGAATCCTTTGACATGTGGATGTAGTCCAGTGGCGACCAGCTTGCACAACAGGAATGACCATCCTTCTGACATTTCGTGCAATACAGCACATATGTCGAAACATATGCAGCAGAAGTCAACATAGCATATGCAAAGCCACCAGACACCGCACATCCTCATGATCATCGCGGATGACCTGGGCTGGGCCGACCTAGGCTCACGAAGGACTCAAAGAGAGAGAGAGAGAGAGAGAGAGAGAGAGAGAGTGAGAGAGAGAGAGAGAAAGAGAGCGTGAGCCGACCAGCTGACACAACCGGAGACACTGCATCATGGCGAGGAACAGAACGCAGAAGACCGACTGACAACAATGGGGACCGCGCAGCAGCTACAGGGGATGGAGGTGGAGCAACAGACCGAGTTCATCGTCGGGGACCACTTCCATGACCCCATCCACACACCGGCCACGAACTACACATTGAGCGCGAGTAGTGACACCAGCAACGGGGAAATTCACCGGGAAGCAACCTTTTGACCCCAGTGAACCGACTGAGGGATAAACACATACAGGCTCAGAAGGAGTCCTGTACTCGCACTGTACTGTGGCCGCGGGCCTCTTTGGGGGGACCCTCTTAAGCGTGGAGAAGAAGAAGAAGAATCATGTGGGGATGCCAGCCGATGGAAATAGGGGGCACGACCATCAACAAGCAGCTGCTCGAGAGCGAACGTCCCCGAGCCGGACCTATAGATCACATCATGCAGCGGATGGCATCATCGAGACCACAGAACAGCAACGAGAACAAGAGCACAGGGACACATGCCCGACCCAACCATGGCCCACGGCCGCATCAGCACTTCCGGACACGCAGATCGAAGAGGCATCGGGTGATCTTCGGGGGCGACCCCACACAGGGGATCACAGGTCAGCTCGAACAACTTCTGGAAGACGGAGGTTGTGGTTTCGAAGGAGCTTGTATTTGTGTGGGGGAGGTTGAGGAGTTGCTACGAAGGGTGGGGGGACCGGAAAGCCTCACGCCGACCTTTTGTGCAAGGACACATAGCGCTGACCCTCGGGTGCGCTGTCGCGCCGGGGGAGGGGACCTACCTCCACCCCCATCCCCGCTGAGAAGAAGAAGAAGAAGAAGCAGAAGAAGAAGAGAGAGAGAGAGGAAAAAAAGAGACACGCATAGTACAGTACGTGAATGTACAGATGAACACAAAGAACGAGACTCTTAGTCATAAGGGCTATTCAAGGATACTGGTCGTCTTTGGAGCACCCTAGGAATTCCCAGACTTCCCAGTTCTCAACATTTCTCAACCTGAGACTTTCAGCGTTTCAGCGGGCCTGGTGTGAGGACGATGGAGACAGCCGAGGAGGCACAGGGATGGGCAGAGACCCCCACGCCGCCCCTCATCTTAGTTGGCTCCTAAAGCTGGAATTGTTGTGGCTGTACGTACCGGGGGTAGATTCCTGTTGGTTGTCTGATTTTGATTGATCTGTATTTGCGTCCAATAGCCACACAAGCCTTGGTTCTTAGTGGTCAAGGTCCTCCACGATGTTTTGATATGTTTTGTTTGCGTTTGGTAAATTTTCAACTGCGACAGGATCGGGCCAGGAACATGTGCGCGCATGTTGCGATAGAAGGGCGAAACCTTAAGGAACTTCAGTAATTAACCTGAAGGACACTGGTAGGAAGGAGGCAGGCCTTGAGACGCATCTGGTAGAAAGAGTTAGCTAACGGCCATGTTCGGCCTTCATCTTAGTGATTAGTGCACCTAGACTGTTCTCGGGATTCTCAGGGGCCCCCTGCGATACTCGAGGGTCCTTGTTAAGGAACTTGTATACCCCCAGGGCAACTGAAAATGTAAGTTCCTGATCCAGATCCCAGTACTCAGGAGCTCTTCAGGAGTCATTAAGAGCTCCCGAAGAGTTCTTTTAAAGAGTTCTCTAAAAGCCCAAAGAAGTACCGAGGAATTTGGATGCGCTGCGCAGTGAAGGCATTTCCCTAGAGCGGCACTACACCGCCTCGAGCTCTCCCCCTTCCAGGCCGCGGCTTCTTAACCACTCACATAATGATTCATAATGATTCATAAACCTCACTCATGTATTGACTCCTCATATTTCCTCAGGTGGTTTCCATGTGATTTTCCATGGCTTCATGGCTTTTGGGCCTGAGGTTTCCCCCACTTTCCCACAGTGCAAAAGCCCGGGCGTTTGCTCCTTCATGGCTTTTTAACCTGAAAACCTTACCTCTTTAGCAAGAGCATGTTTGGGGAGTCCGAGTAAGTTGCCACACAAGATTCAGGTACCTTCCCTACTCCAAATCCTCCGATTTTCACGGGTTCATTGCGATGGCACTTAGGTGTTCCCTGTGGAGCGGACGTTTGCCCAGCCATGTCACACATGGCAACTTACACGTCAACCGGCAAATGCTGTGGAACAAGACTCAAGATGAATTTCGGAAGATTTGCCTTTTCATTGTGACTAGAGGCATAGATGCAGATATGATTGAAGGAGGTGCGCTTATTCTGGCAAAGCCTTTCATTCCTTCACAAGTTTCCCAACACCCCTGAGGAAAGACAACAACTCTGGTTTCGATGGCATTCCTCGTGCAATGACAGGGTTGGGCACTAAACTGAAGGAAGCAGGCTGCCGGATTCGCAAGTACAGCGTTAGTGAGGTGGAATACACTGCACAGCATTGGGCAGTTCGGTATGTACAGGTATATACAGGTATGAGCCCGCCGCCTTTAGGGTCTATTTAGCTTTGGGTTTTTCTTATTGCTTAAAAAGAGCGAATATAAATATCGTAATACAAAAATACATATTTACACCTACATATGGCACGCAAATCTCATGCCCAGCGGTTCTAGGCCTAGCCGCACGCCATTACGAACTGCGAATTTCTGGTTGTTCTTATTTTCATTTGTTTCTCTTTGCTATCTGTGTATGCGTGTTCTTTTTTCAGCCTGCGTGAAAAAGTCGCTGTTTGGCTGCGGCAGAAGGGAAAGAGAAGTGAGAGAGGAGAGACAACAAGGAGGCCATTTTAATTTTCTGGAAGGGTATTGATTGAAAAGAAGAGAAGAGACAAGAAACAAGGAGACGGATGGCACTCTTCTTTATCTATCATCTCTCCCTTCCTTGCCTCTCCCGTTTCCCTCTATAATTCAAAAGACAAGACCATTCTTGCTCTTCGCAGATCAGAGGAGAGATCAAAAGGAATGCAATTTTAATGGGAAGAGCAATGAAAAGAATGGAAGAGAAATGAAGACAGGAGAGGGAGGTGCAAAATCAGGCTAAGAGAAGATGGTGCTCGTTTTCATCTTTCTTCTCTTGCTCTTTTCCTTTTCAAATAAACAACAAAAGGAAGAACAATGAACATGCAAAGGAACCCGTTTTCTTTTTCCATGTGGGAACAAGGAAAGAACAGAGGCGATAAGGCGAGAGGAGGGATTTGCTGAAGCATGGGGAGGGTCTACGGACAAGGAGCCAACCCCGCTCACTTTCCCCATCCATTGAAACAGGAAAAGAAAGGAACAGGGCCTCCATTCCCCTCTTGTTCTTCCTTTCTTGTGTTTTTGTCACATCAAGGGGAACAGGAGAAGAGAAGGGAGAGAGAAGGAGAGAGGAGAGACAAAAAGGATTGCATTTGTACTGGGAAGAGCAAAGAAAAGAATAGAAGAGAGATGAATAAAGGAGAGGGAGAGACAAAATAAGGCGCAGAGAAGATGGCACTCTTCTTTATCTATCCTCTCCCCCTTATCTCTCCCTGCCCTCTTTCTTTTCGAAATAAGAAAACAAAAAGGAAGAACTATGAGAAGGAGAAGGGGACGGAAAGGAACAGAAGGGATAGGCCGATAGGAGGGGGTATGGCAAGGTCCACGCGCAAGGAGTCACCCTCTGCTTACCCTTCCACTGCCTTATCATACAAGTTCCTTTCTTGCGCTGTATCAGTTGAAAGGAAACAGAAGGAGAGAAGGGAAAGGGAAGTGAGAGAGGAGAGATGACAAGGATGGCATTTTTCTGGAAGCGCAACTGTACCGGAATGTGGCCACAATAAGCAGGCCAGGGAGACTCAGGCGGGGCAACTGTAGCGGAATGTGGCCACAACAAGCAGGCCAGGGAGGCTCAGGCGGGGCAAGTCTCTCCCTAATTAGAAAAAAACCAATCTTGCTCTTCGCAAATAGATAAGTGCCCTTCTTCCTCTTCAGGAAATCGCCTTTCCCTTATTTTGCTTTCTGAAGCGAATAAGAAAAAGAACAGATAAGAAGAAAGGACAGGGAATGACTAGGTAAAGAGAGGAGCTCTTCAATTTTGCATTACTTTTCCTTCTTGGGGGGTCCTTTTTTCTCCCTTGAAGATGCAGAAAACTCTCAAAAGGAACACCCGTTCCATCGCCCATTTACTCTTCCCTTCCTTATCTCCTATGCTCTTTTCCTTAGTCATTGCAACAGGAGAAGACAGGAAAAGGGCCTCCATTCCCCTCTTGTTCTTCCTTTCTTGTGTTTTTGTCATATAAAGGGGAACAGGAGAAGAGAAGGGAAAGAGAAGGAGAGAGGAGCGATGAAAGGAACACAATTTTAATGGGAAGAGCCAAGAAAAGAATGGAAGAGAGATGAATAAAGGAGAAGGAGAGACAAAACAAGTTGCAAAGAAGATGGCGCTCTTCTTAATCCATCCCCTCTTCCCTTTTTCTTTTCGAAATAAGAAAAACTAAGCAGGAAGAATTATGAAAAGGAGAAGGGTAAGGAAAAGAGCAGAAGAGATAGGCCGAAAAGAGTGATATGATGAAGTATGGCAAGGTCCACACGCAAGGAGTCACCCTCTGCTTACCCTCCCACTGCCCTTATCATACAAGTTCCCTTCTTGTGGTTTATCAGCTAAACGGAAACAGAAGGAGAGAAGGGAAAGAGAAGTGAGAGAGGAGAGACAACAAGGATGCCATGTTAATTTTCTGGAAGGGTATTGAAAAGAAGAGAAAAGACAAGAAACAAGGGGACGGATGGCACTCTTCTGTATCTATCATCCTTGTCTTTCCCTTTTCCCTCTATAATTAGAAAAACAGGCGCCCTCTCTCGTCTTCAGGAACCCGTTCACTTTTTCCGTTTGGGAACAAGGAAAAGAACAGAGGCGATAGGGCGAGAGGAAGAATTTGCTGAAGCATGGGGAGGGTCTACGGGCAAGTAGCCAACCCCGCTCACTTGCCCCATCCATTGTGAAAAGAACAGGGCCTCCATTCCCCTCTTGTTCTTCCTTTCTTGCGTTTTTGTCATTTAAGGGGGAACAGCAGAAGAGAAGGGAAAGAGAAGGAGAGAGGAGCGATGAAAGGAACACAATTTTAATGGGAAGAGCCAAGAAAAGAATAGAAGAGAGATGAATAAAGGAGAGGGAGAGACAAAACAAGGCGCAAAGAAGATGGCACTCTTCTTTATCTATCCTCTCTCCCTTATCTCTGCAAGGAATAGAACAGACAGGAAGCAAGCAGACGGAGTGACAAAACTTGTCGCAAAGCTTTATATTATATATATCCCTTGTCTCTCCCTAATTAGAAAAAACCAATCTTGCTATTCACAGATAGATAGGTGCCCTTCTTGCTCTTCAGGAAATCGCCTTTCCCTTATTTTGCTTGTTGAAGCGACTAAGAAGAACAACAGATAAGAAGAGAGGACAGGGAATGACTAGGTAAAGAGAGGAGCTCTTCAATTTTCCTCCCTATCTCTTATGTTACTTTTCCTCCTTGGGGGATGTCCTTTTTTCTCCCTTGAAGATGCAGAAAACTCTCAAAAGAAACGCCCGTTCCATCGCCCATTTACTCTTCAATTCGCTTCCTTATCTCCTATGCTCTTTTCCTTATTCATTGCAACAGGAGAAGACAGGAAAAGGGCCTCCATTCCCCTCTTGTTCTTCCTTTCTTGTGTGTTTGTCATATAAAGGGGAACAGGAGAAGAGAAGGGAAAGAGAAGGGGAGAGGAGCGATGAAAGGAACACAATTTTAATGGGAAGAGCCAAGAAAAGAATGGAAGAGAGATGAATAAAGGAGAAGGAGAGACAAAACAAGTTGCAAAGAAGATGGCGCTCTTCTTAATCCATCCCCTCTCCCTTATCTCTCCCTTCCCTTTTTCTTTTCGAAATAAGAAAAACTAAGCAGGAAGAATTATGAAAAGGAGAAGGGTAAGGAAAAGAGCAGAAGAGATAGGCCGAAAAGAGTGATATGATGAAGTATGGCAAGGTCCACACTCAAGGAGTCACCCTCTGCTTACCCTCCCACTGCCTTTATCATACAAGTTCCTTTATTGTGGTTTATCAGCTAAACGGAAACAGAAGGAGAGAAGGGAAAGAGAAGTGAGAGAGGAGAGACAACAAGGATGCCATTTTAATTTTCTGGAAGGGTATTGAAAAGAAGAGAAAAGACAAGAAACAAGGAGACGGATCGCACTCTTCTTTATCTATCATCCTTGTCTTTCCCTTTTCCCTCTATAATTAGAAAAACAGGCGCCCTCTCTCGTCTTCAGGAACCCGTTCACTTTTTCCGTTTGGGAACAAGGAAAAGAACAGAGAGGCGATAGGGCGAGAGGAAGAATATGCTGAAGCATGGGGAGGGTCTACGGGCAAGGAGCCAACCCCGCTCACTTGCCCCATCCATTGTGAAAAGAACAGGGCCTCCTTCCCCTCTTGTTCTTCCTTTCTTGCGTTTTTGTCATTTAAGGGGGAACAGCAGAAGAGAAGGGAAAGAGAAGGAGCGAGGAGAGATAACAATAACACCATATTAATGGGAAGAGCCAAGAAAAGAATAGAAGAGAGATGAATAAAGGAGAGGGAGAGACAAAACAAGGCGCAAAGAAGATGGCACTCTTCTTTATCTATCCTCTCTCCCTTATCTCTGCAAGGAATAGAACAGACAGGAAGCAAGGAGACGGAGTGACAAAACTTGTCGCAAAGCTTTATATATCTCCCTTGTCTCTCCCTAATTAGAAAAAACCAATCTTGCTATTCACAGATAGATAGGTGCCCTTCTTCCTCTTCAGGAAATCGCCTTTCCCTTATTTTGCTTTTTGAAGCGACTAAGAAAAACAACAGATAAGAAGAGAGGACAGGGAATGACTAGGTAAAGAGAGGAGCTCTTCAATTTTCCTCCCTATCTCTTATGTTACTTTTCCTTCTTGGGGGATGTCTTTTTTCTCCCTTGAAGATGCAGAAAACTCTCAAAAGGAACACCCGTTCCAGTTCCATCGCCCATTTACTCTTCAATTCCCTTCCTTATCTCCTATGCTCTTTTCCTTATTCATTGCAACAGGAGAAGACAGGAAAAGGGCCTCCATTCCCCTCTTGTTCTTCCTTTCTTGTGTTTTTTGTCATATAAAGGGGAACAGCAGAAGAGAAGGGAAAGAGAAGGAGAGAGGAGCGATGAAAGGAACACAATTTTAATGGGAAGAGCCAAGAATAGAATAGAAGAGAGATGAATAAAGGAGAGGGAGAGACAAAACAAGGCGCAAAGAAGATGGCACTCTTCTTTATCTATCCTCTCTCCCTGATCTCTGCAAGGAATAGAACAGACAGGAAGCAAGGAGACGGAGTGACAAAACTTGTCGCAAAGCTTTATATATCTCCCTTGTCTCTCCCTAATTCGAAAAAGCCAATCTTGCTATTCA